TTTCCTAGTGGTTTCAAGTGATTGTGGGTTGTTTGTAAAGTGATTTCCTTGTTGTTTTTCATGAGCACCAATTTGGCCAAGGCACGAACTAAATCCTAGGATAAGTTTTTCATTGTTTTGATGCTTTCATTGTGTTCAAAATGAAAAATAGTGTAGGATAAACCTAAAGAATAAGTGTTGGAAGCATTAAAATCAAAGTTGTAATTTTTGGATAATAAACCCTATTTAGTTTGGTCAAGAGGAAACTAGTAGAAGGAGGTTTCTTTTCTTAAATCCAAGTAGGTATTTGGAATCTAAACGAAAAATCTGTAGGGAATTGAAAGACGACGCGCAGCGGAAAAATTTTAAAACTTTCAATCCCTTTCCGGATCTACCGTTTGCGTTTAAGTCAGGTAGTAAGAAGCATTACCTTTAGGCGTTCGATTCCCTGGTGACTTGATGATTCGGCCGTTCAGGATGCTTCTGCTCGCCTCCTGTGTCGTTCGAAGTCGACAACTCCGGTCGGCTTCCTCTACCGGTATCCACACGAGTAGCCTTCAACCTCGAACGGCGTGCCAGCGCTTGTGTCCGTCTAGGGTTTTAGGAATCCGTCCTCTCTCCTCTCTTTGCCGTCTCTTAGGTGTTAGTTCTCTCTTGCTTAAACCCTAGCTCCTCATATCAAATATATAGGATGCTATATAGGTTTAATTAATAATATTTAATTTCGAAATTAACTCTAAATTAATTCCGAAATTAATACAATATCAAATATTGCCTAATCAGATAAGAGAACAATTAAATAAATATAGTTTAAATTAAATCCGTCCCACAGATTTAATTCACTTATTTATTTAATAAAGAGATGACGGAATTTATATATATTTAATTTATCCTTATAAATTAATATCTCTTATATATATATATATATACGAATTTATATATATATATATACACGTCCACCCTATTTATTCATTGAATATAGACATATCTTAGATTCAATGAATCTGGACATCATAACTCGTGTTGGGCTATTTTGTGTGCGACCCTGTAGGCCCATATGAAGTTGGCAGTGGGCCATTAACTATAATGACTCACAAGTCGTAAGCGGCCTCTAGCAAGACATCACGACTACCCAAAACATATGAGGATCATTGAACGATGCAGCCTTTCATACAACCATATCACGTCCTTTTTGTCACACGACATTTTGGTCATGGATGAGGCATGGAGAACGTCATCCTCCTATTCATGACCGTTACTTTCTCGATCCCTGAGTAGTCCGAGTATAGAAATGGAACTACCTTTCCATTATAGTATGGCCATACATTTCTCAGACTCACTCATCGAGGGGCCCAGTAATGTCTCTCTACAAATGTGAGGGACAAATTCCATCTTGACCATTCACATTCCTCCGCATGAAAAACCACTAAGCCTGAACATAGTCTTTATGATCACTCGGTCAAAAGTGACTTTTGACTAGGTCAAAGCTAAGCGTTTCTCATGTAGGAATCCATGATGATCTCAGGTCAAAGGGCATAGTGATGTGGTTTGTATATGAGAGAAGCTTATGACTTAACCCATGCAGCTCTCTCATAGCGGGTCGGTCCAACACCTTGTACTCTTACATGTGCCTATGACTTTAATTTATATCTCTATATATCTTTAAAGTCATACTGGTCTTATTTCATCTTTGCTCCCACATAGATGACCGACCAGGGACATTTAGGATAAACCATGAGTTATCCAAGGATAGTTACCACAGAAAACATGCAAATAATATGATAACGTAATTGATAAATTCATAAATTAACAATGTTCAAAACATAATGATTGACCCCTAGGGCACAATTTCCAACAAAATCATGTAGGGATGGGTCAAGGAGGAATTTTTAGAGTTAAGGAAACAAACTCTAAAAATTTAAAGAACAAGGATGGAAGCTTTAAGAGACAAGGATTGTCCTTCAGTTGTGTTTTTGTTTTTTCCTGGTTTGGTTGATGATTGTTGCTGTCCATTTTTGTGGATTTCCATGTTAGAGTTTGGCATTTGTGGAAGTAAGGAAGAAGAACAAGAAAATCAAAAGCATTTGGAGAAAGGTAGCAAAGTTGAACCTAACTACTGACATTAACCTTGCATTTTGATTATTGCATGATTAATTGCTATTATGTGGATAAACTTTCTTGATTGTGATGTGGCTGCTCTTTGCACTTTCTTGATTTGGCCTTTGCATGATTGATTTTGTCAAATGATAAGCATGCTAGTTTACCAATAGTAGCTAATGTGGTTATGAATAATAATGATGCTTGTAGATGATATAGTTGGTTAATTTTGCTATTAGGATTTCTTGAAATCTCATTCCCCAAATGCAATCTAATATTTTAGGACCTAAAACCTCTAAGGTCAAGCTACAGATTGAAGGCTAGTTATGGTGCCAAACTATAAAAATTCATAGACTTTCGGTTATGTAAATATTCTGCTGGGACAATGCTGTAAACCTAACTACACTACCAACTTGGAGCATCGTTTTGACTAAGTTCCTGAATGGTTTTAATCATGAAATCTGGTATGTTTGTAGATCACATTCTGAGTTTCATTTTGATAGCTAACACGTTAAAAATGGCCAACTATATGATTTTTCAAATTTAAGGTCTAGAATATGAAAAAAAGATTTTTACCAAAAGGACTGAGGTGACTTTCAAAAAAACCTGACACTTTTTTAAATGGAATTGGTTAACAAATTTATTTTTCTTTGAAAGAGAATTTGAAAAGCTTTCTATAGAATTTTGAATCACTCCATTTTGATTTTTCTAGATTATGTTATGATTTTTCAAAGTTGGACCAGAAAATTGGATTTTTACCAAATGACTCGTAAAAATCCGAAAATTAAAGTTTTTGAAAAAAAAAATTTGAGCCCAAGACCATTCAATGTGGTCTAAAATAGTTTTGATTGAACCCTAAGTGGATCCAATAGAAAGGTGTGACATAATCATTAATGCAAAACATTACTGGGTTAAGATGCATATTTGTCCTGGAAGTTTTCGCTTAAGAGCACTGGGAATCTAAAAGTTTTTTGGATGCAAATTTTCTTCATAAGTTTAAAGTCATAATATTATTGCCCCTTACTATTAAAATGTTAATAGTCTACGTCACTGTTTTAATAGTTAACATTAGTTTTTTTTTTTAAATTGTAGGGAGTAATATTATTATGATTTTAAATTTTCGGGGCAAATTTGTATCAAAAAAATTTTCTAGGTGCCCAGTGCTCTTGAGTGAAAATTTTCGCGGCAAATAACTAACCCAAAGTTTAAAGGGTCTTGTAAAATTTAGCCTTAAAAAAGTTTCATTCATAAATAACAATTCATTTAAGATGAAGCAACAACCCAATGAAAGAATAAAGTGCCAAAACTCTAATTCCTCAATTCTTGTATTTAACGTTATGTTTCTCGCATAGTGTTAAAAGCTGGACCGGACCGGCAGTTTAGACCGGTAAATTGGCGACCTAGCCACTTGGCTGGTGTTGGTAAGCAATCAACTTGGAGAGGAAGTAACTCGGCCTGAACCGTGTAACTTGGCCATAACTCGGCCTAAATCGTTAAACTCAGTGGGTTGTTGGGTTGTTTCGGGTCAGAAAAATGATACAGATGATCAGCTGGAAAACAAAAGTATGCTTAGAAAAGTGAAGGAGTACAGAAAGGAAGAAATAAGAGCAATGAAGAAGACAAAGATAGGGAAAAAAATGAACTGGGGGGGGGAGAACTAGTCAGATATTCTCTATTATGAGATCTATCCCAAGTTTCCTCATCAGCAACTTGAGTAATTTTTTGATTTTTTCTCAGATGAACGCCAGAGTCCTTCTACGAAGTTCTCCTTTCCGCTCTGAAACCATCAAATTCATGGGACAGTTCGGCATCTCAAATCAAGGTGTTTTATTCTACCGAGAGAGAGAGATGAGATTGTATCGTAACTATTGATCATACATAAAAGGTCATGATTTCATTTCTTTTATTAAAAGAGTCAGTCATTGTCTCATACCTTCCAACAAGTTCCTTTCCAATTTTTACTCACGCCCATACTCGTTTCTCCCTTACATACCAACTCCCATTTATTTTTTTACCAGCCAAGCCATTTAAATTTAAAGCTCATAAATGGTATTATATTTTATTACTTCTATTTTCTAATGATAAATACTTATTCATGTCTCTTTTATAATTATACTTTTATATTCTATAGCTCAAGCTTTAAATTTTTACTTCTATTATTTTAGAAGAATATTTAATTAATAATATATGTTCACGAATATTCCTTATTGATAACTCAATTCATCAATTGGTGGCCACTACAAAAAAACACTGAATTACTGACGGATTTACCGACGGAATTTCTGACGGAATCCAGAATTACCGACGGAATTTCCGACGGATTAGCGACGGGACGGAATTACCGACGGAATTTCTGACGGAATAACTTCCGTCGCTAGTTAAACCGTCACTAAATATTTTAGCGACGGAATTCTGACTCCGTCGCTAATTTGTGGCGGAATTACCGACGGAAAATCCGTCGGAAACTTGTGACGGATTTTTGACGGAAATTTTCCGCCAGAAATTGCGGACGGAAAATTCCGCGGCTAATTAGCCACGGAGTTACCGACGGAAAATTCCGTGGCTAAGTAGCCACGGATTTACCCACGGAAAATTCCGTGGCTAATTAGCCACGGAATTTTCCGTCGGTAACTCCATGGCTAATTAGCCACGGATATCCGTCACAAATTCCGTGGCTAATTAGGAATTTGGTTTTTTTTAAAATTTTTTATATATTATTTTATTTATTTGTTAGTTTTTAGCCACGGATTTACCCACAAATTCCGTGGCTAATTAGGAATTTGGTTTTTTTAATTTTCTTATATATTATTTTATTTATTTGTTAGTTTTTAAATGGAGAGCAAATAATTAAAAAGCATAACAAAAAATAATAAAATTTGTTGAAAGTCAAAGATAGTGTAATTCAAAAGTAGTCTAAACATAGATTCTCAATGAAAAATATTTGAAATGTCAAAAGTCTTATACTAGAGTCAATTACTCAACTACATAATAACTCTCAATTGTCATTTTCTGCATTTGTACTGTTAGAGGGCAAAGGAAATGTAATTCCCATTTTTTCCAATGCAGACATGATCATGACATTCTGTTGTTTGATTTGTTCATTCTCCTCTGTAAGCGCTGTTATCTTCATGCGTAATTCATTTTCAACATTAGGATGGATGCTTGTGGTGCTGATGGAAGGAGGAGATGCTTGTGTACAACCAATGTCACCGTCAGCCTCAGATCCAAACCCATAGATGCGACCCTTCTTGTTTCTACCACCTGTAGCCTCTAACCATATATTAAATTCTGCTTGATTAGATTGTACACTTGCAGAGCCTCCTTCAGAACTTATGGATGCCTTTCTCCTTATGAAATCATCCTGTAAAACAAAAGTAATAGGAATATATAAAATAAGTGCATGTTTTATTTATTAAATAAGAGTTGACTATAATGAAGAGTGTAAATAAACGTTTTAGGGCCAAAAACTAAAAACATGTCATTGCAATCAAGTGGAACTAATCAGAGACATCAAACAAACAGTTAATGTTCCAGTGCTCTCATTCAATAAGACTAAGACTCACACTATAACTAGTCAGGCCTTTGGCCGTCAGCACAGTTCAAATGATCCAATATGACAAACATAGTATAAGTGAATGTTTTATTTATTAAATAAGAGTTGACTATAATGAAGAGTGTAAATAAACGTTTTAGGGCCAAAAACTTAAAACATGTCATTGCAATCAAGTGGAACTAATCAGAGACATCAAACAAACAGTTAATGTTCCAGTGCTCTCATTCAATAAGACTAAGACTCACACTATAACTAGTCAGGCCTTTGGCCGTCAGCACAGTTCAAATGATCCAATATGACAAACATAGTATAAGTGAATGTTTTATTTATTAAATAAGAGTTGACTATAATGAAGAGTGTAAATAAACGTTTTAGGGCCAAAAACTTAAAACATGTCATTGCAATCAAGTGGAACTAATCAGAGACATCAAACAAACAGTTAATGTTCCAGTGCTCTCATTTAATAAGACTAAGACTCACACTATAACTAGTCAGGCCTCCGGCCGTCAGCACAGTTCAAATGATCCAATATGACAAACATAGTATAAGCATATACTCACATGAACTAATTCTGCCCGCTTGTCCACAAATGCTCCAGTGCTCTCATTTTGATGTGTCTTCTTGAACAGTTCAAACATAGTAGGGTCTCTTCCCAACTCTAAAGCCTGTAGTTATTTATAAATATGCATTATACATGCATTAAATAAATAAATATTTTATTTGAAGATAAATTCTTACCAGCCTCCTCTTATGCTCAGTATTAGGAATACTACCACCTTTGTGTTGAGTACCTCCTGTGGTCGAGGCTCGATTGGCTTTAGCTATCTCACATTTGGCCTTATAATCTTCTGATGCCCATATTCTCTCTAACTCCTCCATCACTTGACGTGGAATCCACTTAGCTCTAACTTGTTTTTGATATAGGTCTTGCCTAACAGTATGCATTGTATTTCTTAAAATTTCTGCACACTTTCCATTCCAAATTTTCTTGATAGCACTGTCATATTGTGGCAACCATTTATATTTTTGCTGCATAAATAAGAAACAAAAAAAATCAAACTAAACATAATAAGAGGGAAAAAAACTCAATATGTAAAATAAACATAATAATAGAGAAAAGATTTACCGCCCATTCATCAAACCACATTTTCTTATACTCAGGTGGGGTTGTTTTCCAACTGGAACATGGATAGTCAAATTTTTCTTGAATAACAGGAAGAATATTTCGTACAGTAGCAACAGCAGGATTAAACCTAAAACAATTATAAAGAAATCATTATAAATTGTAAAATGACTTTAATCTAATAATATAAGATGTGAAATAATATAAGCTTGATGATGACTTACGTTTTCTTTTCAGGATATATCCATGTTCGACCATCTGAGAGATCATAACCCCACGGTGAAAGACTAGCATGAGGAGCTTGTGGACCAGGGGGTTGCGAGTTTTCTGTTCCAGGAGATGGGATTGGAGGAGATGATGCTTGAGGTGATAATGAGGGTCTACTAACTGATTCATTCAAAAGTGGAGATGATGCAGGGGATAATGAGGCTCTACTGAGTGATTGCTTCGGCTTCTTCATCCTCCAAGAAACGAGATTTACATTCCCCAGAAGGTTTTCCCCGATAGTTAAATATAGATATTGCTGGCACATCTGATTCTCCACCATCGTCATTTCTTATAGGTCTTCTTATTCTTGGTGGAACACCTGACTCAAAATAGTGTGAGCAAAATACCGTGGTCTCTTCAATTATATAAGCTTCACATATAGACGCTTCAACTCGAGCTTTGTTCCTTACCTTTTGTTTCAAGGTATGGAGAAACCTATTTATAGGGAAGTGAAAACTAACATTAATTATTACACTTACCTTATATTTGTTCTCAACTAAAGAATTAAGTTTAATTACCTTTCAAATGGATATATCCATCGATATTGAACAGGCCCTCCAACTTTAGCTTCATAGGGAAGATGGATAGGTAAATGCTCCATTGAGTCAAAGAACCCTGGGGGAAAGACCTTCTCCAACTTGCATAACGTCGTAACAATATTTTGGTCTAAATTGTCTAGTTGATTTATCATCAAAGTAGTAGAACAAAGTTGTGTAAAGAATTGACTAAGCTCTACTATAGGATTTAAAACAACTTCAGGCAAAGTGGCAAAGGCAATAGGAAGTAAGCGTTCCATGAATACATGACAATCATGACTCTTCATTCCATATAACTTTGCTTCCTTCATGTCCACACATCGAGCTAGATTAGATGCATATCCATTAGGGAGTTTTAAGTTCTTCACCCATTGACAAATCAGTCGTTTTTGTTCTAAATTCAATGTATATTTTGCAATGGGTTTCACTATTTTCCCTCCTCTTTCAACAAGTTCATCATCCTTTCGCCGACAATATTCTTTCAAGTCCATTCGAGCTTGTATAGTATCTTTTGTTTTTCCCTTTGTGTCCATGACAGTGTGAAACAGATTATCAAAAACATTTTTCTCAATGTGCATGACATCAAGATTATGTCGAATGAGGTTACTTTTCCAATATGGCAATTCCCAAAATATGCTTTGTTTTGTCCAATGATGAGTGTGCTTATAGCCTTCAATTGGAATAGTTTTTCCACTCTCAGTGACCTTCGGCAAATTTTGTACTCTTTCCCAAACTTCCTCTCCACTTAAACGAGGTGGAGGCATTGAGTTTTCAATCCTGTTCTTGTAAAAAGAGGTTTTATTTCTCCTGAATTGGTGATCATTGGGAAGGAATTGACGATGGCAGTCAAAGAAAGATGATTTCCGCCCATGCTTTAATTGGAATGCCTTTGAGTTCTCCATACATATTGGACATGATAATCTTCCCATTGTCATCCAACCAGACAACATACCATAAGCAGGAAAGTCATTGATTGTCCATAATAGTGCAGCATGCATACAAAAGTTTTGTCTCAACGAGGCATCATATGTTGGAACCCCCTCATCCCACAATAATTTTAATTCATCTATTAAAGGTTGTAAATAGACATCAATTTTTCCTTTAGGATTATTAGGACCAGGGATGATCAATGTCAAGAACATGTATTCTCGTGTCATGCATACCTCAGGTGGTAGATTATATGGAGTAATAATCACAGGCCAACAAGAATATTGCCTCCCAGATTGCCCAAATGGCGTAAATCCATCAGCACATAACCCAAGCCTCACATTTCTTGGATCATATGCAAAGTTTGGATATGTCCTATCCAAAACCTTCCATGCTTGGCCATCAGAAGGGTGAGAAAGGACATTAGAACCTCGACGATTTTCATAGTGCCATCTCATTTGCTTTGCAATTTTTTCAGAAGCAAACAATCTTTGTAATCTTGGAATAAGAGGTAAGAACCACAACTGCTTCCTTGCAACTTTCTTCTTTCTTCCATGACACTTTTTGGAGAAGTATCTTGCCTCACAACAAAATTTACATTGGGTTGCACTATCATCAGCTTTATAATACAACATACACCCATTCACACAACAATCGATCTTCTTATAATCAAGACCTAACTTTGACACTAACTTCTTTGTTTGGTACAAGTCTGTAGGCATATGAGTGTCTTTAGGTTGGGTCCTCCGCATAAGTTGAGAGACTAAATTGAAACTTTGTTGTGACATGTTGGTTGTTGCTTTGATACTCAACAACTGCAAAGTTGCTGAAAGTTGAGATTCCTCTTCACATCCTTCCCACAAAGGTTGTTGAGCAGCACGTAGCAATTCATAAAATGCTCTTGCATCAGGATTTGGCATCTCTTCAGGACCTTCACTATAGTTATCCCAAAAGCTCGGCCCAGCTGCATCCATCACCATGGTCTCATATTGACTTTGGTGACCAAGTGGCCCATGGGAGGGATGTAGGGCACTTGGCAATGGACAAATGGGTGAAGGATATTCTGTTCGTCTTTCACCATGATTAGTCCATATATAGTAGTTTGGCATGAATCCCTTTTTATATAGGTGTGTCTTCACCTCATCGAAACTTAGATGTGACCTACATTTACATTTCACACATGGACACCTAAGCTCTCCTGATGTTTGAGAATAAGATGATTGAAATGCATGGGCAAGAAACTCCTCAACACCTCGCTCGAAATCTGTTGTAACCCATTTAGTACTCGGATTGATTCTATTATACATCCATCTTCGATTTTCTGGAACTACCATTCTAAGAAAGAGGAATCCTACGTCAATACTATGTAAGAATTGGAGCAAACAAACAATATATATATCTATGGAAAGTAAGAGAAAATTATTATTAAGACAGAGCCTAGTAACACCACGTTAAAACAGATCATGAGATCCTAATGCCATTTGAGATGTAAATACATAATCAATCAATATAAGTAGACAATATTAAATATATAGATAATTATATACCATTTATCATATTATTATTATTCCATACAGGACATAATCAATCAATATAACACCATGTTAAAACAGCAATTTATTTCATCTCAGTCACTGATGTCAAGATAACACCTCAAAGCTCCACAGATGCAATCTTAATCTCTTTGTGTAAATAATGTCTAAAAGTTACAAGCTTGCCAAGTATATCTATCACAGTCACTGAATTCAATCTAAAACCGACACTCGCACAATTATTTCTTTATCAAATCACTCATAGAAGGGTTAGCAAAATAAGAAATGATATATAATGGTGCGTGATTAGCATAGTAAAAAGCTTACCTTCCAAAGCCTAAAAGTTACCTATGTGTGAAATTGGGAAGTAAGTTGAGATGCGTGCCAGGCCTCTAAAACAATTGATTTAAGAATATCGTTTGAGACAGCTCAATGGTCATTACTCTATATAGATATATATAGTTTTTGCCATCGGTATAGCGACCTGTTAGGATTATAAACAAACTGAGTTAGCAGCAAGGTGCAAATGCACACGCACTTGTACACTAGCATATATAATTACAGAATACTTGTAGAGTCAAAACGGTGAGTTCTAATAGGATAGTTATTCTATTTCAAAATGATTCAGAATATTATGAAGTAGCAAGAACAAATCATAGATTTTTCTAGCTGTTAGGCAGAAGACAGATCGAAAGACTTTATGGTTACTTGTGAGTAATAAATTAAAAGCATCACGCACATGTACAATCTAGAAAAAAAAAACCAGCAAGCTTCATAGATAAAGAAGGTTCAGTATGAAGCAAAGAAAGCCTACCACGTCAAAGACAAAGATTGAGCTTTAGTTGAAAGTGGCTGAGAGCTCCAAGAATTCAATATTAGAGACGCAACGATGATGACAAGAACAGAGGACCACCAGAATAGCGATTGCGAAGACGAGAAGTGCAGGAGAAGAAGAAGAAGAATTAACAGCTTTCGGTCGCTCACGCACACTTGGAAGAAGCTAAGTGAATGTTGGGAGGTAGAATTGTAGAGATGAGATGGGACGCAGAATTCTCAACTCGGGAGAGCTTTTGGGACTTAGGGTTTGAAGAGAAAGAGAATAGCAGAGTCTTCAATTCGGGAGGCAATCTCTCCAAATGCTTTTTTTTTTAATTTAATTTATGTCAGACGCAGAAATGGCTTTACTAGAGGCGGGATACTGAAATTTTCAGAGGAAGAATGAATTTTCCCTCTTATAATAGCGGGAATATGAGTTTTTCATGTACATGAAAATAAGACAATAGATAATTAATTACAAAGTCGTCGCACCTCACATTTTTTTTTGTAGTGGACGTATTATTATTAAACATTAATCAGTGAAAAATAATCAATAGTAATTGAATAAGTTTATCTTGCATTGTTGTCGTATGTGACTCAATTTAAATGATTCTCTGAATATGATTTAAAACATGATAATTAAAGCACTTGTCATGATATTATAAAAACTTATATTCATAACTTAAACATATATTTTATACACTCTCATAAAAAATTACTCACACACCACCTTCATGATTCAATTATAAATCCTACTTAGTTTAATGTTATCTTTAAGGATGTATTTGGTATGAGGGATTTGGGAGGGAGGGGAGGGAAGGGGAAGGATTTTAATCATTTCCCCTTATTTGGCAACACACAAATTTTGGGAGGGGAGAGAAAATTTTTTAAAATTTTTAAAAAATTTTCTCTCCCCTCCCCTCCTCAACCTCCCCTCTAAAATTGGGAAGATTTGGAGGGAAAGGGCAATATTTTGCCATATTGTGACTATTATGCTCATATTTTGTCATGTTGTGACTATTATGTCCATATTTTGTCATGTTGTGACCATTATGCCCATATCTTAAATAAAATAAGAGCAAAATTATCTATATTAAAATATTTTTCCCTCCCCTCTCCTCTTTTTTTAATAAATCCAAACAAAATAATATTAAAATCCTTCTACTCTCCTCCCCTCCCCTTCCTTCCATTAAAATCCCTCCCCTTCTTTTCCTCTCATTGAGCCAAACATACCCTAAGTTTAGTTAGATGCATTTTTATTTTTTAAAACTTTAACTCTTATGCAGTCTTGTTATTTTAGGTCAAAAATTTAAAAATATATACACGCAGCAACTTTAATAACTTAGCTTTAATTTTGTCGATTACAAAAACTTATATTAATAACTTAGCTTTAAAATCTCTATTGAATGCTACCTATGGTAGACTCATTTAAAGGATAAAAGACAAGAAAACCTCTTAATTAAATATGTATTGGTATTAAACAATTTATCAATCAGGTTAAATTTTCATATATTTTAATAACACTAATGAAAATAGGTTTTCCACATCTCATTATAATTAAATAAAATTTCTTTGAGAGAAAATTAATTAGACGGAGAGAGACAACTAATATGATAAAAGAAAATTGATTATATTCTATTAAGACAATATAAACATATCAAATTCTTATCACCTATATTCATACTTTTTAATTTTAATTCATAAGCTCAACTAAATCTATGTTAAGAATTAAAAAGCATGGATCAAAAGCAAAACACGCACACACGAAATGTTAAGCTCATATTGTTTTACTTTTTCTCCTTCTGCGAAGTTTGAGGAAGTTTATCTTAAGAAATAAAAACTCAAGTGAAATAGGAATGAAAATAAAGTACAACTCACATAAAACTAAGAAAGATTGAAATGAAGTAACCTGATTGTCTCCTATTTCATCTGAAACCTCAACCCTAGCAAAAGCAAGGAATGCGGAAAATATGGAGGAGGAGGAAGAACCGCACTAAGCACGTTAGCACGCAATACGCATTACCAACTTGCCGTGATCAGTGTGTACGATGAAAACAATTCCTTTACTATTTTAAATCGTGTCACAAGTCCAATATGAACTCAGAAAATTAATTGGGAAAAGACAAAAACAAAATGATAAAAGAAAGTTGATTTTATTTTTATTAGAACATATCAAACATATTAAATTCTTATTAATATTGTTAATTTTAATTCATGAGCTAAGAAAAATCTAATTTTAAGAATTAAAAATTATGTATAAACATGTACAAATCATTGTGCTATTATATATAATATAAACTATTATCATTTATGATTAAAACAAAAATTTTAAAATTTCCGACGGAATTACCCACGGAAATCCTTTTGTCGGTAATTTCCGACGGAAATTTGTCGGAAATTCCGTCGGTAATCTTACAGACGGAATTTCTCACGGAATTAGCCACGGATTTCCGACGGAAATTACTGACGGAATTTTTCCGTGGCTAATTCCGTCAGAAATTTGGATTTCCCACAGAATTACCCATGAAAAAATTCCGTCAGAAATTTCTGTCGGAAATCCGTGGCTAATTCCGTCGGTAATATTACCGACGGAATTTCCGACGGATTTCCATCAGAAATTACTGACGGAATTTGTTCCGTGGGTAATTCCGTCAGTGATTGGGTGTTTTTTTGTAGTGGGCGTATTACATTTTTTTTCTGTTTAAATAATTTTTTTACTATTAAATATGAATATTTTGTATATCCTAATTAAATTATATTATTTTAATCATGAACGGTTTGATTCCAAGCTGACTCCGGTTTGAACCACTGACCCTTGAACTACTACCTCAACCGTTTGGTTTCTCATACTTCAGTGGTCAATGTAGCAAGTGGCTCTTTATATCGAACATTTAACCGTTGAAAACAATTACAACACTTCTATGGTAGAAAAAGAATATAAGATGATTTAGAAAGTCTACTGTAGTGAAAAGAGGACAAACTCAAGTTTGGAAAGATTAACTATAATGGAAAAGAGTTTAACTAAACATTAAAAATACTACCATGGTTAAAAGAAACAAGCTACAGGAGAACATAACCATGATGGAAAAAAGAATTAAAGCCATAACAACAAAGACTATCATGGTCAGAGAAAGGGGAAACCCCAATTTCATTCACAAAATTATTCTTTAATTGTAAACACAAAATTCCAAATGCAACATTTATACAAAATGCGGCTGAGGCCCCAACCAAATAGAGAGTAGATTACCCATCCCAAAAGCTGGTTACAAATTCATACATAACATATATATGGACATCACACAATAACTTGTAATAATTCACAATAAGTTTCAAATAGTTTACAAAGACGAACCACAACACGAGTTGCACATATCAAATTCCTAAGGTCTCAAGCAAACTAACAGCATTATCCTAGCAGTAGTATAATCCAACAAAATAAAACAAGTTCTAACAACAGCATGAATAACAAAATATGCGTATACTAGAGTGTCAATATACATCTTGATGCATAAAACCCAAAACAAGAACAAGTCATAAAAAAAGGTAGATAGATGCCTAAACCTCTAGTGCCTTCCCTTCACGACCATTACGAGAACCTTCACCTAAACACATTTTGTAATAATGAGGTGAAA